TCTACAACACCAAACTTGTGTAACACGCCTCGCCCAGTGACACGCACCTACCAAAAAGTAAGCCCAGCCCCCTACGCAACACTCTTCCCCATACCCGAGCACCTCAAGTCCGGGGCTCCGCCAAATCTGGCGGCCCTGCATGGCCAACGCACAAACCACACATCAGCCCTGTCGCAAACAGCCCCTCGCCCTCAGCGCATTCTACCCTGATATATTAAATCTGACTCACCCTTCCTTAGGCTCACAACCCCGTCTTCGTAACCGAGTCAGCCCCCCGAAGTTTTAGTTGTTGTCACAGCCCGAGACAGCACATCACATATCTTTTGCGCCTTCCCCCGAGCGAAACTTGCAGTTCCTACCCTGCATTGCACCAGCGCATCAATACTTCCGGCCCGTACCAGCTTTTCGGCTTCCGTTGCGAACTATTTAATCGACTGTTCCGGACACCCTCCATTTTACCCGCCAGTCTTCCTTGCTACTCCCTACAAGACTCATCCTCGTCTACGTACCGAGTACATCGATCTACAAAACCGAATCACCCTTCAACTTCACAAAACCACACAAACAACCACCAAAATGCCCGCCTCAGCAGCCTCCGCATTCAACCCCCGCCAGCGCCTCTCCATCTTCACAAACTCAACTCTCGGTCACGATGTCAGCGCAGCTTTCAAGGCATCATCAAGCCTGAGCTCGCGCTCCATGGAGGTCAACGAGACCCCCGCACCACCGCCATCGCCCGTCGACTTCAGCTTCCCCAGCACACCAGCCGACAGCCGGAGGGGTAGCTCGGGCTCGAACTAGAGCGCCTCGCTCTTCTTCCTCTTCTTACTTCTTTGCACTTAGCGGGCTTGGTTTGGGTACTTGATGTGGCGTTGGATGCTTCGGGTTGTACTTCGACATGTCTTTTTTGCGCGTTGACCGCCGCGTGTCTTTATTCTTGGTTTCACAGTATTCTTCACCACTCTTTGTTTTGCTTCTTATTCCCCGATGAATTTTGCGACTTGCAATGCTATACTATATTTTGGCACTTTTTCCTGGAGGAGGGTTTAGATGTGGGTTTCCTGGGCAGACGGCTACATAGCCGCGAGGCTGGATGGCTTTTACTATTCGGTAACGAGATATGCATCAATCAACTATATACCCAACTCCACACTCATTTGCTACGCGTTCTCATCCCTCGAATGACATTATTGAACACTTTCAATTTCACGTAAAACGCAACGTGTCCTTCGAACACCGTCATCAGAAACTACTCGGTAAACACGCAAAACAATACATCCATCAGACGACGTCACGACAAACTATCAAGCTCACTCACAACACAACCTATCCCCCAGACAACGTCATCAACCCCTTCCCATTCCCATACCACGATGCCCCAGTCTCGACAACAAACTTCACTAGTTCCCACTTCCGAAACAGTCAGACACGTCTCTTCCACAACAAGCATTCAACCCTGAATCCGATACTCAAACTCAGCTTGTATCCGCCCATGCTACGCTACGACATCATACTGGTCATGGCATCTTACAGTCGACATCATAATACTATGCTACCCCACATCGTAACCTCACACTACCCCCACACTACGCGGACTACCTCCACACTATGTGAACCAACAACCCCAACTACCGCCACACTATCTTCCCTGAATCTTACACCGAATCTAACCCTAAATCCATTCTCGAATCCTCTATCCCACTTTAACGTCATCACCCATCCAACACCGTCTCGTCAGCAACCCGTGACTCACAAGGTAGCCCGGTCAGCCGTAGCGGTACTTGTACTTGAGAGAAACTGCTTACTACCCATCGCACGGTCGATTGGTGTTTTGCTCGGGCCATGTCCCGTGCCTGGCCCGAGGCGAACGTTTCGCGAGAAACGTGAGTGAGGTGAGATTGGGATGGGCTTACCTGAGATTCTGGGCGTGGGCGTTGGGTGTTGGATGAAGGATGGGGGAGAAGTAAGATAACAGGGCTTTTGTGAACGTCGGTAGAAGTGAGTGTGTCTAAATACCTGTAAGCGGCTGAATCATCCGTGGGGTGAGGGATGGATGGCATGGTGAAACGGCGGGTAGTGTGAGCATGAAGTCATTCGGCGGTTTACTCGGCGTGTTGTAATGCTATATCATGGATTAGTGTAGTAGTCAACGGATTGATCCTTTTATCTTGGAAACGTAAAAGATTGCAATAGTCTTGCTCGGTGTCTGTAAATAGTATTTTATACATAGATGAACGCAAATTCCACATTCGGAGCTCCAGGTAACTGCTCGCCTCTCATAGTCCGACTTCAATTATCTCGCGGCGTTGCCTGTGCCATCTCAGCCGTAAGTGCATCCTCTACTGCCTCTATACTATTGTCGTCCTTGCGTTTCGCCCTCCGTAGAAAATTGGAAGGAGCATCGTGATGCGACTGAAGCCCAGCATACTTCCTAATCCTCGGCGCCCCCTTCTCACCCTCTACAATCGGCTCCTCATTCTTGGCAAAGTGCTTAGAAATAGTAACACCTTTGGGAGTCTCTGATCCAACTCTCCTAAAGATACTCACATCTTCCGGGCGGCTCGCTCTCAGCTCTTTGATTTTCAGACTCAGCCCAGCTTGTGATCGCTTTGGACCGGGGTCTTTGCGTAGACGCAAGAGTTCCGGGGTACCTTGCAGTGGGGTTCCAGCTTTGATGGCGGAGTCGACGGCGTATTTAAGGTCGGATTCGTATTCTGAGGCCGAATCCATCATCTCGTGGATGCTGACCCAGTTCTGGAATCGGAGTTCATCTAGAGGTATGCCGGTGGTGCTCGTTGGGAGCTGCTCTGGTGAATCGGGTGCGGGTGGTGGTAGAGGTGGCTGGTGCGGGTCAAGGGTGAACTCGTCGTACACTGCCCGCAGATCCTCCGTATTGCTTAGGGAAGGATGTTCGGGATCCAAATGCATGTACAATGGGGAGTTGCGGAGATCGAGTGGTTGGCCAGACATGACATCAGCTTCGATATTCTTCATCTGAGCCTTGAGTGCGTCCAACTCTGCGTTCAAATCTCCCATGCTCGTGTATTGGTATACTTCGTGGAGTGCTGATGGAGTCTCGGGCATCTCGATCTGCTGGATGAGATAGCGCTCGGTGCTGTCGCTGATGGCATACGGCAACTTCAAGATCTGGTTTCGGAAGAAGTCGCCGAGGCCAGCTCTTCTGCAAGCTTTGGTAAAGGTAATCCAATCCTCAAACGAGATCTGTGCACTGTCCGCTTCGGCTGTCAACACAATGTTGGACCAGTACTCCTTGACCATGTTCTTGTCTTTGAGCAAGCCAGCCGTCGTCAAGGCTGTTCTTTTCCCAATCAGTCCAAATCTGAGACCAGCCGCCGCCATGTCTTGAAGAGTAGTTTCCAGTAAACTTGGGACGCGCAGTTTGCCCGAGATGGAGATTAGAGCCTCGAATGGCTGAAGGCTGGGTGGCATGCCAGCTTGTATTAGCTCAGACAGCATCTGATGCGCAGTGGCAACAAGGGTGTCACGCATCTTCGCAGCTTCTCCGGTGTAGTCTTCGCCCGGGATGGGTTCTGGCAAGATTTGTTCGAAGGCGCGGAAAAGAGAACCCACGTGGATACTTTCAATATTTCCTCCGGCTTCTAGGTGCCCATATATCGCATTTGCGATGGCGCGAAGTAGCATGAGTCGATCGGCCATGGATTGCGAGGCTTTCATCGCAGCTCGCAGCTTTGTGATGAGGGCGGTGACATGTGTTGGCCTCATGGCGATGCCAGCTCGGCAGGCTATCATGAAGGCTGTGTAGCCCTCGGATATAGGCCTCTCCGTCATGAAGAGTTCAAAGTAGCGTGGCGGGGTCTGTGTGGGGTATATGCGCAGTGCGGTGTCCAAGGCCAGATAGGCATTCTTCCAATCACGCGCCAGCATACGTGCCGTGAGTATACCTTGGAGGAGAATGGTTGGAATGCCAGAGATTGTAGTGAGTCGGGTTCGGTCGGGGACGATGGCGTCGGGAGAGAGATGGTACTCGGCGAAGGTGCCAGGGAAGCGCTTCAGTCCTTCGGAGTAAAGATTCTCCATGTCTGGCAGGCTCATAAGCCGTCCATATGCCATGAGCTCAATGGCTGCACCATAAGCAGCCTGCGACACGTGCTGCTCGTCCTGTTCGACCAGCCACTGCCAGAGGGCATACCCCTCACCGAAGCGCTTGCAGTCCTTGTAGATGCCGAACAGGTGGACGTAGGCGTAGGGATGGGGCTCGAGCTTTCCTCTGCGTAGATCGCTCACTACCTGCTGGACGAATGGGAAGATTTCGTCTCGCTTGGCCGGAGTGTTTTCGTTTCGCAGGCGAACGTGCAGGACTTGGGTGATGCGCCGAGTATCGTAGGCAGTGAAGAGGCCTGCTGCGAGCAGTGTGGGGTAGCAGTCTATGACATGCTGAACGTCTCGGAGGTCGCAGGCTTGTCGGAATTTCCTGACTAGGCGGAGTTGCTGGTGTTGTGAGCGCAGCCTCCGGAGGTTGTGACGAGTCTTACCTCTTGTTCTTCCTCAGACAGAGCGGGGGGTCTGGTCCCCAACTTCCCTTGTTTGTGATCAATTTTCCTGATTAGGCTTTTCTTCTTCTTTGCCGGCTTCGTTGTCTTCGCGGTCGCATACGTCGCCCTCTGGAAGCGTGGGCATGGCGGGCACTGTACCGATGCCGCTGCGGCGGGTACAGCAGTGCGGAGAAGACGGGGCGCAAGGAATGGCGCTGACGGACACACGAGAGACGCGAGTGAAGTTCGCGATATTCTGTGCATAGTTGTGGTATGGTGGCTTCAATGTCTGAGATGCGCCCGCTGCAGTCGTCGGTCGCACCCTCTCAAAAGTTCAGACGACGCGCTAGGCCCAGGCCCACGACCTCCGTGATTGGCCGCTTCTCCGCAAGCAGACACCTGTGCTGTCTCCCAAAACCCCCCACCGCGTTCACAACAGCGCCGACCCATTGACGCCTACTCGATCCAATCCGCACCTCCGCCGCCATGTCGCGCCCGCTTTCTCTCTTCAGCGTCCAGGCGATCCTGGTCCTCGCCATCGACGACGGCTCCCGCATCCTCACCAAGTACTACTCGAACCCGCACCCGCCAGCCGGCCACCAGAATGACTACCCCGGCCAGATCGCGTACAAGACGGTGAAGGACCAGAAGGCGTTTGAGAAGGGACTGCTGGGTGGGTAGATCATGTGGATATAAAGCTACCGACCTGTTCGTCTGACACGTTGCACAGAGAAGACGGCCAAGCAGACGACGGACATTATATTATATGACGGCAAGGTCATTGTCTTCAAGATGGAGTCGGACGTCATGCTCTACGTGGTTGGAAGCGCGGACGAGAACGAAGTCTTGCTATACAGGTAAGGTCATGGCACGGCGGAGTGCTGGGCTGGAGCTAACATGTCCAGCGTCGTTCTCGCGTTAAGAGACTCTCTCAACATCCTCCTGAAGTAGGTCTAACTTGAACTGTCTGATGGACTCACCTAACACGTTGCAGGAACTCGGTCGACAAGCGCACCGTGATCGAGAACTATGACCTCGTGGTACGTAACAGCAGCCACGACTCCCATATTCTGCTTCAACTAACCTTCATAGTCCCTCGCCGTAGACGAGCTAGTGGACGACGGCATCATTCTCGAAACCGACCCCGTCATCGTTGCCTCGCGTGTCAGCAAGCCCCCGGCGCAAGACATGACCTCGATGAAGAACATCGACCTCTCGGAACAGGGTTTCTTGAACGCTTGGGAGTTTGGTAAGCGACAGCTGGCTGAGAGGATACGGCAAGGCCTTTAGGCACATTCTGTTTGCTGGGCATGGCGTTGTCGGAGTTTGGGATAAAATGCGTGTGGCATTGTGACTGGTGCCCGGACCGTGGCGCACGTAGAGTAGGTAGCGCACCGCACAGATAAAGATCCGATGAATGTATTCAGCTTCTACTGACGCCTCGGACAGAGTGTGAGTTCTACTAAGCAAAAGTAAAGGGTTGTTAGTAAGCGTCCGGGCCAGGAACCATTTCCATTTTCCCATGACCCTTGCAAACGCGCTACTCGCACACCTTCGTCATCGCCGCAGCCCACCATCAATCGCCGACCCCACTAACCACAGACTCTTCACACAACACAACCATGAAGCAGAGGTTTTCCAGCTTAGACGTCAAGGTGAGCACTTCACAGTTTCCCAATGCAAACATCCCGCTAACAGTGAATAGGTCATAGCCCACGAGCTCTCTGCAAAACTCACCTCACTGCGAGTCACGAATGTCTACGACTTGAGCTCGGTATGCTTGGACAGCTTGACACAACACCCCCTGGAGTCATGTGCTGACAAACACAGCGAATCTTTCTCATCAAATTCCACAAGCCCGACCACCGCGAACAGCTCCTCATCGATTCCGGCTTCCGCTGCCACCTTACCGAATATGCGCGAACCACAGCCGCTGCGCCTTCTGCCTTTGTCGCAAAGCTGCGCAAATACCTGAAGACTAGGCGAATCACATCCATTACCCAGATCGGCACCGACCGCATCCTCGAGTTCCAATTCTCCGATGGATTATACAGACTGTACTTGGAGTTCTACGCTGGCGGCAACATTGTTTTGACCGACGCGGAGCTGAATGTCTTGTCTCTACTACGCAATGTAGACGAGGGCGAGGAGCACGAAAGGCTCAGGGTTGGTCTGAAATACAACCTCACCCTGCGACAGAACTATGGTGGCGCCCCGGAGCTTACCAAGGATCGAGTGCGCCAGGGGCTGCAGAAGGCGGTCGATAAACAACAGGATCAGCCCGCAGCGACAGGGAAGAAGGCGAAGAAGGCAGGAAAGGATTCGTTGAGGAAGGCACTCGCCGTTTCAATCACGGAGTGCCCCCCTTTGCTGGTAGATCATGCGCTGCATATCGCGAACTTCGATTCAACTCTCAAGCCCGAGGAAGTACTCGCTGACGACACTCTTTTGGAAAAGCTTGTCGTGGTGCTCCAGGACGCAAGAAAGATCACCGACGAGATCACGACACCAGACCAGATCAAGGGCTTCATCCTCGCCAAGCCAAACCCCTCCGCACCTCCGGCCGATGACGAAGCCTCCGAGAAATCGAGAGTCCTCTATGACGACTTCCATCCTTTCCGTCCAGCACAATTCGAGAACTCGGACTACACCTTCTTAGAATTCGACGGATTCAACAAAGCGGTGGATGAGTTCTTCTCCTCGATAGAAGGACAGAAGCTGGAATCAAAGTTGACCGAGCGTGAACAACAAGCCAAGAAGAAGCTGGAAAAGGCGCGCAAAGAGCATGAAGACCGAATCGGTGGATTGCAGCAAGTGCAAAACCTCAACTTCCGCAAAGCAGAAGCGATATTGGCAAATGTACATCGTGTCACAGAAGCTACCGAAGCCGTCAATGGGTTGATCAGACAAGGCATGGACTGGGTTGATATCGCGCGTTTGATCGAGCGTGAACAGAACTCTGGAAATGCAGTCGCACAGCTCATCAAGCTACCACTAAAGCTGCATGAGAATACGGTCACGCTATTGCTGGATGAGACCAACTGGGAAGAGGGAGGAGACGAAGAAGATGAGGGCAATGAGACAAGTTCTGTCAGCGAAGACACCGACGATGAAGACGAGGCCCCTAAGAAGAAAGCCCCGACCCCAGCCGTATCCGCTCGTCCTCAATTGGCTATCGATATCGACCTCGCTTTGACCGCTTGGGCGAACTCAACCGAGTACTTTGACCAAAAGAAGACAGCCGCTGACAAAGAAGACCGCACACTGCAAGCATCCACCAAGGCGTTGAAGAGCCACGAAAAGAAGGTAAACGAGGACCTGAAGAAGGGCTTGAAGCAAGAGAAGGAGGTGTTGCGACCAGTGCGCAAGCAGCAATGGTTCGAGAAGTTCATATACTTCATTTCCTCTGATGGCTATCTGGTCCTCGGAGGTAAAGATGCTCAGCAGAACGAGATTATCTACCGACGCTTTCTACGGAAGGGAGACGTATACGTTCATGCCGACATCAAGGGAGCGATGCCGATGATCATCAAAAACAAACCCAATACGCCTGACGCTCCCATTCCTCCATCGACACTCTCGCAAGCAGGCAACCTCTGTATCTGTTCATCTGAGGCATGGGATTCAAAGGCAGTAATGTCAGCTTGGTGGGTTCGCAGCGATCAAGTCAGCAAAACGGGCCAGACCGGGGAGTTTCTTCCGGCTGGCATGTTCAATGTCAAGGGCAAGAAGGAATTCCTACCACCTGCTCAGCTGGTCGTTGGTCTTGCTGTTATGTTTGAGATTAGCGATTCAAGCAAGGCCAATCACCACAAACATCGTTTGCAAGACACTGCGGTGTCTGCCGCGGAGATGGACAATGAACCCGCAGACGAATCGAAGACAGCAGAGGCGTCAAAGACCGACAACAGCGATGACGATGAGGACTTCCCAGACGCCAAGATCGATTCAGATTCAGAAGACGACTTCCCCGATGCCAAGATGGAGCAGACTGAAGAGAGCGACGCCGAATCTGAGGCTGCGGCACCAAGGAGCAATCCTCTCCAGTCCGGAACAGCAGACGCTAAGGACGACTCCGACGATGAAGATGAGCCGGCAGCTGCTAAGGATGATGACGAGTACGCCATGTCTGGTGGTAGAAATGGTTCCGCTCTGAACGAAGAGCCTCAAGAAGACGCAGGCTCTGTAGCAGATACTGAGCGGGCGCCAAAGTCCACTGGGAAGCGACAGTTGTCTGCAAGGGAACGTCGCCTTGCAAGGAAGGGCCAACTACAAGACTTGCCTCAGGTCCCATCCGACGCAAAGCCTGCAGCTGATGATGCTGACGAAGACGACAACTCATCGGCAGAAGACGGTAGCGCAAAGAGTCCGCCCAAAGCACCCGGCACAGTGACGACGCAAAATTCCAAGCCAAAGAACGCCCCGCTACCTCGAGGCAAGCGCGCGAAAGCAAAGAAGCAGGCTGCAAAGTACGCCGCACAAGACGAAGAAGACCGTGAATTAGCAATGCGCCTATTGGGTTCCAAATCCGGGCAGCAGGCCGCCGAAGCGGCTGCTCAAGAGAAGCGTCAGAAGGAAGAGCAAGCACAAGCTGACAAGCAACGGCGTCGAGACCAGCATCTCCGCGCTCAAGCCGCGGGCAAAGCAGCTGAAGAAGCACGTCTACGGGCCCTCGAGAACGCGGAAGACGACGACGAAGGCGATGAAGTCCTAAAGACAAACCTGCAGAACCTCGACGCGTTCACAGGCCGCCCCCTCCCCAACGACGAACTCCTCACCGCCATACCCGTATGCGCACCCTGGTCAGCTCTCTCCACCTACAAGTACAAAGCCAAGATTCAGCCCGGCTCTACCAAGCGCGGTAAAGCAGTGAAAGAGGTTCTTGCCATCTGGGACCATGCCGGGAAGGACGCCAAGGCGCTGGATAAGACCAGTCAGGATGTAGAGCGCATTTGGCCCAAGGAGATTGAGATGATACGCGGGTGGAAAGAGACAGAGGTAGTGGGTGTTGTGCCGGTCAGTAAGGTGCGGGTCATGATTGCTGGTGGTCGCCGCGGTGCAGATATCGCGAAAGGAAAGAAGAAGAGTGCGAGAGGTGGGAGGGGTTCGAAGAAGAAGTGAGTGATGTAGGCGATTGCATGGTGAAGTGGGGAGGTATTCAATGTATTATGTGAGCGATATCTGTGAGAGCATGGTGAAGCGGGGAGGTATTCACCGTTTTCTGTCACTGATGTTTGTATGAGTGATAGGTGACTGTGACGCCGACAACGCCTCGACTCATTCAAACGCGACTTCTGTGACTACATTGTAGTCATATCAATACATCGACTCATTGAAGATTGACTCCTGTGAAGACGATGTAGGCTTATAAGAATCTTTTCCTCGCGCTCAACGGTGGTCTCTATACTCCACAAAGCATACTACCAGGTCGGCATCGATAGCATATCTCAACTCAATATACATTACCATCTCGACCTGCGATACCATCTCAAACTACTATCCCAGCTCGATCTACTTACGATACCACGTCTGCTTACCGTACAATATCCTTCACCCTCACCACATCTGACGCACCTCCCTCACGCTGCTTCGATCGAATGGCTTCTAATAACCAGAAACCAGAAGGCCAGCATCCAGATCAAGCCAAGGAAATGCAAAGCGTCAGCAGAGTCACGGTTGAATATTACTGCTGTGTATGCGGAGCAACATTTACTAAAGGGGGTCTGGGTTCGACATGTCCCAAGTGTGGCGATCACAAACGCTGCAGCGATTGTAGGCGATCATCAAGATAACATGCGGTCCCTTTCTTCTCTAGGTCTACATCATTTATTGGTTAGCTGGCATAGCGGAAGGGGGTTCAAAGGTTGGTGCCCAGAGGATTTGTAAATAGGCGACACAATGTTGAGTTCACGGTTGAACATATTCGATGGTTATTTCTCCTTCGCACGCGCATGTAGCCTCTATAGTTGTTCGAGGACTAGTACAGAAAGTGTAACTATTGATGCAGCACATTTTGCGCAGACTAAGTCAGGGTGTTGTAGTCTTCGCCGCACACGCTGCACAAACGATCTGCACTACATAGTACAGCCTGTCGCTAGTGATACCACGCGGCACAGCATACGTACTTACCTATCACGGGGCCAATATTCAAGTCACTATAATTCAGACCAGAGCACCATCAAAACTCTCCTGTTCCTACGCACCCCCCTTATCGTATTTGAATCTTCTGAACCAAAGAAGTCTTGACATTGCGTCGTAAAAAGCAAAGTACCACTTTAGCGGGGATGACG